GGGTTGAGAGCGACAAGGTCCCGCTGGCAAGGAAGGTGAACAACAAGAAAAATGGTGGCGGGGAGGGAGGGGGGAAGGAGGGGGGAAACAGGAGCAGTAGCAAGCAGAGATTTGGCACCAAGAAGTCAACATTCTCCTGAACCCTTGTATATCTACCAAAGCTTGTTAGCACGAGGATGAGATAGAGGGGGGGAGGAGTATGACTGGAGGAGGAGAGGATGAGAAGAGGATGAGGGAGGAGCAAGGAAAGAAAGGGTCAGAAGGTAGCGGACCGAAGGCCGAAGAGCTGAGGGCAATGAAGCATCGTCGTCCTCATCTTACTCCGCGGGATTCCAAACCCTTCCAGTCCAGCTCGTCACTTGCTGGGGAAGAGGCGGCAAGACGTACCTGTGAGGTACGCGCTTGTGTTCAAGATGTTGTCTTGGGAGTAGGTGAGGAAGGGAGGGTGTAGCTTCACGATCTTGGCGACTTCTGTTGCTTCGAGCTGGTCGGAGCAGGTGGTGAGGAGGGCGAGGCACGAAAAGCAAGGCAGCAACAGGCTCACGTCAAATTCTTTCTTGAAGAAGGCGATCTTAGGTCTGCCGGCAGCATCAGCAGCGAGTCAAAGGCAGGGCAGCACGGACTTCAGGTTGTTCGCCAGGGAGAGCGTGAGGAGCATGGGGTTGGCGAGGAAGATCTGAAGGAGGAGGTCAGCGGTTGTAGTGGAGGGACGGGTGAAGCATGGAGACCTTCTTGAGATCGTCTCTCATCAGCCCTAACTCCCGTACCATGAAGAAGACCTGAAGATCAAGTAAAGCCTCTGCTCCTGCTCCTGCTCCTGCTCCTGATCCTGCTCCTGCTCCTGATCCTGCTCCTGATCCTGCTCCTGCTTCTGGCACAACACTTCTTCCTTCTGCTCCTCTTCTACAACCATACCATCATGGGCCTTCTCCGCTTCAATCACACTATCCTCTTCCACCACCTCTTGCTCCATCACCCCTGCTTCTTCTATATCTCCTCCTCCTCCGCCTCGATCCCTTCACCTCAACACCCTCTCCTCTCCTCTTCATCTCCGCTCTGATCTCGGCCTGTACCTTCGGATGCAAGTTCTCCTCGACGCTCAACTGCAGCACCGCTAGGAAACCAGTCAGCAGCGACGATCCTTTCCCGCAAGCCTACCAGGTTGCTTCTCGAGCAGACTTCGGACCTCATGCCTGTCAAAGTCCAGGGAAGTCTCAAGAAAGCTGGAGCAGGATGTCATGGCAGAAGAGCGCTGAGCAGTCGAGCTTCACCTCAGGGTCGGCCTCAGGTTCCTGTCCAGGTTGTACTTGAGGATGTGGGGGAAGCGGCGGACAACCTTGGTGATGCTGCGGCAAGTCAGGAGCAGACGCGTCCGTCCTCCCCCAGCTCTTCATACACAGCTCTCGTGAACCCGATTTCGTTCCTCATGAACTGAAGCTTCTCCCGCTGCCGAACAACTTTGATGGCCAGCAGCTGGGAAATTGAACGTCACCAAGCTGAGAAGGAGGCAGCTGGACGTGCCTGTGGGCAGCTGGATAGAACCTTCATGGCCTGGCCCGGCTGGAGACCGACTTCGTCCACGAGGAAGTCCACTGCAAGGAACGCGTTTCACCCAGCGATCAAAGCACAAGGAAGACTTGCCAGACTCCTTGATCCGCTCCACCTTGAGGGGCCCGCGGGCATTCGGGAACGGCTGGCAATCCATCAACTGGGTCGAGACAAGTCATGGAATCGCTTGATACACAAGCATACACCTCTGTTATGTTGATCGCACTCACGACCATCTCGTCCTCAGGCCCTCTGCAAGGAGCCGGAAGAAGTGAGCTCTGGGGCATGCAGCATTCACGGCTGACCTCGTTTCCACATCAGCGTCCATGCTCTGCTGGCACATGACCACAGGAGAGGAGCGATAGAGGTTGATCTGGGCAGACAGCAAAGACCTACTACCTCGCAGCAGCAGAGGAAGACTCGATCGATGGAGTAGGCACAAGGGGGAGGACTGTCGCAGGTTCTGCACACTCAGCCATGCAGGTTGGAGCAAGGGAGAGGGAGGAAACGCGGTAGTTCCACTGAAGAAGAGGAGCAGGGCTCCTTGTAATGTGACTGAGGAACAAGCCGGAAGCCGTCTCTGCCGGTGTTGGTAGTGTACATTTCTTGAAGATCCTCTGACCAATCTTGCCTCCCCCTTGACCACCTTCTCCTCCACCACCACAATCTTCATCGCCTCCGCGCAAGTTGCCATCAACCCGGCATCACTGCATTGCCTGTAAAGACATCGAACTTGAGCTATTGTTGGTGTTACTATCAAGTTTTACTGCCCTCTGATCAGTGATGGCTTTCACTGTAAGGGCCGTCACTTCAACGGTGAACTGAAAGACTCCGCACCTGCCCCCGGCCGGGCCGGGCCGAGCCCGGCACTGGCAGACTCGCCGTCACCAGTGATCAGTAAAACGGCGGCCCGCACGGTCCGATCCATGAAGCTGCTGACTCACGGTGAGCGCCGCCACACCCACTCACTGCGGCCCGGCCAGCCGGAGGCTCGGAGGCTCCAGCCGCCGGCCGGGCCCGGCGGCCCGGGCGGCGCCGGACCCGGGCCGGGCCCTGAGTGTCCGACTCACAGTGGCACTGAACCGTCCGACGTCTCGGACGGACCCCGGCCCGCCGGGCCGCCGCCGCCCGGGCCCCCGGCCGGGGCCCGGGGCCATCCGAGTCTCATCCGGCCCGCCCCGGCTGGGGGCCCGGCGGCCGGCCTGCTTGCAAGTTTTTTTTTCTCTGTGGGCCGCGGCCGGCGGCGGGGCGCGGCCCGGGGCCCGGGGGGCAGCGCGCCGCCGCCTATCTAGTCATTGAAAGTTTAACTCACAGAGTCAGCCTGGCGGGCAGTAAAATAACCGCCGCAGGCCAGTGCCATGTGACCGTCTTCGTCAATCTGTCACAAACGGTTAACTTAAGTAAAAAATCAAAAAAAAATCAACTGTCAAACAACAGCAAACATTGAACCCGGAGTCCGAGCGAGGACCCGTGTGACAAACCGTTGAACAACAACACTACTGTCACGCCGGTCTCTTTTACTCAAAGTTAAGTTAAAACTTGAATCAGTATACGAGCACTACTGCTCGGCTCAGCCCGATCCGTCAGTGGTATCTGGCGCCGTCACGGACGCCACAGGCACCGCCGCGGCGGACCTCTCAAGCCTGGCGGCCGCCGACTCGAGTCATGTACGGTACGGTCATCTCGGACTGGCTCAGATAGTCACGCAAGTTACGGGGGCGCGGCACGTCACCCCGGTGGCAATGCCAACTGTTCAACGGTTGTAAAAACTGAACTCAGCCGGTTTGGTGAGCTGGCAAAAACAGTCGGAAAAACAGTCATATCCCAACTCACGATTGGTTTGGAAAGAAGACTTTTCATTGTAGCATGTCGCAACATGACCCCGTTCAAAGGCCATTAAACTACCCCACCCGGTCCAGTACTACATGACCATCGTGCCTTGGATTCCAGTTATTTTCTTTACCCCTTCCATGTTGTGAGGACCCCTCCCTTGACCACCACCGTGGCACCACCGCTGATATTCCTTAAGTTTTCTTGCGAAAAAGTCAGACCAAGACCCACCCCTGGATTATGTCAATGTTCGATAAAGTACCCCTACCCTCTATATCCGATCTAACACATTTTGACCCTTTTTCCATGCTGACGTCGGAGTTTGTAGTTTTGAGAAGCAGTTGTTAAATTTGAATTTTGTCAATGAAATTTTCGCAGATCCGACGAAAGATATGTACCGATTGACTGGAATTTGGAGGCAGTAACCTCGAGCTCAGCCGGCCCTTTTATACATCTCTGAAATCTTGTCTTTTCGAAAGCTGGGACTGTCACACCGGTACAAATGAGGGAACAGGAACAGCACGGGTGGTGCCAAATCGAGGGCACAAGGGATTACAGGAGCAAGGGGAGGCGAGCGAGGGAGCAGGAGGGCAGGGCAGAGCATGCAGCGAGATTTCAAGGAAGATACAGAAACATCTAGCATTCAGGAACGATCTATCAAGGTGGGAGAAAGTCTGGAGAGCACGGGGGACGAAGCAGCAAGAAGAAGATTCATCGCAGGCAACATTCAGGATATGCGGAGCATGCAGGTGGATAGATGGTTTCTCTCCGACCAGAATGCTCTGGATTCACCAGAAACATTCCACGAAAAAAGTCGAACATCGCATGCATCAAATTCTGCACGAGATAGTATCAGTGACAACATGGTAGAGGAAGGGAGGCACAACAGCACAATAGACAGGTTGGCGGGCAATTCGAAACCCCCACGCACCAAGATCATGAACGCGCAGATAGCGTATGAGATCTATAGCGCAAAGAGAAGCATGCTAGAGAACAAGTCCATGGAAAGTGCCCTTGTGGCTGCAAAGTACGGCATTAGCTCCAAGACAGTCCGAGATATCTGGGACCGAAGGACATGGGCGGACGCGACGATCGAGCTGTGGACCGAGAGGGAGAGGGAGGAGTACGAGTCACAAGAGAGGAGGAACCCCGGGCGACCACCTGGATCGAAGGATACCAAACCGAGGAAGAAGAGAGGAGGAGTGGCTGGCATGAGTGGCCTGCACAAAGCTTGCTCCTCCGGGTTTTCGATTTCGGACAACACGGATAACAATTCATGCAGGTCAAGCGTCACAGCAGACTCGTCCAGTGCGGATGACATCAGTAAAGTTTTCAACGTTGATCAGAACTTTTTTCAAGATTCCGATGAGCAGTCCTCTTCGGGAGCAGTAGCACCGAGCACGGAGCTGTTGGAAGCAAGCATCGTACCCATGGACGTCAACGATGCTGGAGGGGAGGCAACAAGAGGGGAGGCAGCAGCCAACGGAGACGTACAAACATTACTGGATTCAGAGCAAAGGAGACTGATCGGGGAGACGTACAGGAATCAAAGCGCTCAGTTGCTGAATGGAAGCAGTGACGAATGGTTCGTCCGGCCCGAGCTGTGTGGCATTAATGATTTCTTGCAAGAATCGAGCGAGTCGAGTGATACCTGATACTCTTAGATACCTGATAATCTTACATCTCATTCTTCCTTGTAAATTCTATTGTAAAGTAACAGGCCATTAACGATCCGACTGCTTTACACCGTCTGCGATTCGATGTATGTTCCTGTTGAATCGCCCCTCCCTAATGCGCTCGCGTTGAAAACCACAATCCATCGTGCGAAGCGAAGTATGCTGGAGAAAGAGTATTTGATAGCACCCAGCGTATCAGATCTGGTTTTACTAATGGCATGTATATTCAATGTTGTGTATCTCATCTTCTTAAACCTAGCTTTCCTGCTGTTCTGCTCTCGACAAACTGTTCTGAACCTGCTCTTCCCTGTATGCATACAGCATCAACTGCCATCAAGTCGTCAGCATCACACACCGCAACACCTCCCGTAACCTGAAGCGCAACATCAGCAAATTCAGCGTACTGGATCGCCCCGTCGTCGTTTTGATCAGCTTCCGCCATCAGCATGATCAACTGCAACGCGGAAACATCACAATCAACCGGCTCAGATCACCATCTTCTCAATATCACCTGCTTGTCGGTGAAAGGAATCCCGGAGTCCCGCATGGCTGCCATGAACTCTCCCAGGTCGAGGTAGCCTGACTTGTCAGTATCGTACTGCTGGAAGACGCTCCCCATGATGCTCGTGAACTCGTCCCTACTCATGCCCAGGTATTGCTCAGCTGCTATCTCTGCAGAGTTAACCTGAAGGAGAGAAGTGAGGAGGGGAGAGACTCGAAAGCAGGATGATTATGACCTGCTTCCAAGCTTCTGTCTGCTGGAACTGAATCTCCTCTTCGTTCTCAAACATTCTCGTGATCATGGGGCCTGCTACGTTGACGATGAAAGGCTCGTACTCGATGCCGTTGCCCTCCACTGATCCTGCTTCCGCCAGGATGTTGAGGATCTGAAACTTAGACAGCCCAAGGTCGGCGTCTCGAAGTGCGCGGGAGACTCGAGCTGGGGTCAAGAAACCTTTGCCAGCCTTGTCGTACTCCCTACAGCATTGCACCAGGAAGTCGGAGAGCTGCGAGGGCTTCGACTGCAGGCTGATGATGCTGTTCTTGACCATCTCGATCAGGACCATGTGAAACCTGGCAGGAAAGTCAGGTCAAGTCTCGAAACCTTGTCTATGTGCTCACAGAGGAATGAACTCTTCCAGGGAAACCTTGCCGTCCTGGTTCTCGTCGACCTCTATCATCGCCATGTTGATCTCACGCTTCGTGAGGTTCAGCGGAAGCTGCCGTAGGAACCTGGAGCGTCTCTCAGTGGAGAGTTTGATCGCAAGGGAGGAAGTACGCGTGAAATTCTTTGACGTCAAGGTAGCCGCTCTTGTCTTTGTCCGCCTGCCGACCCCCCGCCATCAGCGTCGGCATGCAAGCAGACTCGTTCCTCCTACCTCATCGAAGGCCTCTCTCACCATGACCTCGATCTCTTCCCGCGGAATCCCTCGGAAGACATAATTCTCTGCCGCCTCAGCTGCGCTCTGTTCAGCCTCTTCCACTTGTTGCTGAGTCTCTTTTCTGGCTTGGATGGATGAGATTAATTCTATACAAGCAGGGATGAACTCTCGGTATTGAATCAGCCCGTCTTCGTTCATGTCAGCTTGAGAGTATAACAACTTGATCTGTTTCTTCGTGAGGCCCAAGTTTGCATTCTGAAGGAGAGTCTTAAACTCTCGCTTATCCAGGACTCCATTCCCTAGCACTCCGAGTTAGCGCGTTCAAAGTGAACACTATCAAGAAGCACTAGTATCACCATCCTCATCCGACTTGACGAAGATGTCTGTTAGATATTCAACGAGATGTTCTTGTTGCAGTGTTTTGAACTCCTCTGGCGCATATTGCTCTAGCTTCTGATTGAAATATTTCGAACCAAACGCAAAAATGTTCTTGGGCTGCTCTCGGAGGATTTCTCGGACAAACTCTTTGAGAATCTCTGGAAAATCGGACGGGATGGAGTGTGTTGTCCCGAATTTACTTGTCATGACGAGAATCTCGTCGGTACCTCAGTTCTGCTGAAGCTGTTGTTATCCTGTGATCACATTTCAGAAGACTGCTTGCTGCAAGGATTAAGAGAGGTTTGATCCTACAGAGTTAGGATCAAATCCAAGTCAGGTTTGTCTCTCAAAGATGACATTGTTCCAAGCTTGAAAATTATCACAGTTTGCTTGTTCTGATGTGCTACACATCTTGTATCAACCTTTGCTGCTTGTAATTACCCTTCAGAGCGAGTTCACGAGACGAACTGACTTCCTTGAGTTCATTCTTCCTCTTACACCGATACTCCTGATCTTCATTTCCTACATTCTTGATTCTTCATCATCATCTCCTCGTTTTCCTCCTTCTACTCATCTGTTACTACTAACATGCTGTGAACCGACAAGCTTCATTCATTCTTTCCTCCTCCCCTTCCCCGTGCCATCTGTTTCCTGTTCACCCAAGACTGTCATCTCTGTGTTCTCACTTATCACTGTCTTTCTCCTCCAATCTCTCTCTCCCCCCCCCCCCCCTTTCCTCTCTTTCTCTCTCTGTCTCCTCCCTTCCTCTCCCTCCCTCTTTCTCTCTCTTCCTCTCCGACTCCCTCTTCCCCCTTTTCCCTCGTCCTCTTTCTCTCCCTCCTTCCCTCCTTCCCTCTCCTTTCCTCTCCCTCCCTCTTCTCCTCTGACTGTCTGTCTGTCTGTCTATCCGAGGCTGTCCGTCTGTCTCTTACGAGCATCGTCCCGTCCGATCCTCTCCATGGGGGGGCAGGAGACTGAGGGTCTCCCGCATTCCTACTGCCACTACTGTCCGCCGGTTTCCAACGGCTTGCTGCAAGGACCGACTTTCTAAATATTTCAAATCTCTCTCTTTGATATTCAAATTTAGGCAAACAGACTACTTGGCCGTGGTACCGGCAGGTTCGGCGGCGAGCGGCGTCACGTCCGTCAAGTTGCCGCCGGGCCGCCCGCCCGGCGGGGGCCGCCTGGCCCAGTGCACTGCGGCACGGTGGCCGCCGGCCCGGGCCCGGCGCCGCAGCGGAGGCTGCCACGATGACTCCGACCGGGCCGGTGCCGCGCATGTTCCGAACTGAGTTCAGTCGGATCGCCTGCCAGCTTCAACCTAACCAGCCCGGGTCCTTTAAGTTACACCGTCATGACACTAGTGACTTAACTTTGAGTAAAAGTGACACCGTAGGCGGTCAAAAAAAGGCCGCTTTGCCAAAGTACCAGTAAAAGGTTTGAACCAGTAATACTCAGCCTGGATAGCCGCCGTGACGGGTGATGGCCGGGGCCCGGCCCGGCGGCGGGGCCCGGAAGGACGGCGGGGTTTGACCGTGGCTGAGGGATCACTGTCGGATCGGATGATGAAAGTTGGGAAGTCACCGAGTCGATCATCCGAGTGGCAAGGCTGACCGTGAGCAAGTGGTCCTGCTGAGACGAAGCACAACTACAATCTGTGTCAGTGTGAGTATGGAGGGCGGCTGCATGCTGGTGGTGTTGAAGTCGCAGGACTGTCTTGTGGTGGTCTCCATCTTCCTGCTCGCATGCAGCTCGATCCTCATAACCTGCGGCTCTATCCTCCTTACCCTGCTCGAGACCCCCGAGTACTGTCAGATCTTAGCACGGCAATGCCAGCAGTTCGGTCTGGAGGATCTACAGAACATCTCAACGATCTGTGGGTACGACAACCACAGATGTTATGTACAGAACGTCTTTCCGATCTCACTGCAGACCATTGCTGTCTACTGTTGCTATCTGACTAGTACCATTCCTTTCTTCATCGGCACCTGGAACCTTTGCTTCATGCGAGTGCGGTGGCGATGTTCGGTACGTCAGGTGGTAGCCCTCGGGCTCTTCGTCTTGGTAGGAGCAGTCTTCTGCGCCATCTCAACCTTTGTCACGTTGAACAGCTTTCGCGTTGCGTCGGGTCAATGTAAGGCGTTCTTCCTGGCTGCAAACTGTGTTGACTAGGTTGTTGGGCAGGTGACAATATTAACAGTAGAAGCTCGAACCCTTGCTCTCAGTTCCTGGCCTTGCTTGTTGTGTTTTCTGTGAGCAACATGTTGCTGATAGCCTTGTTGACCATGTCGATGGTGATCTTCCTCCTCAACATCACCATCGCGAGCTCGCAACAAGCAATGCCGGCGCAGCAAGAGGAGGCCGAGGAGTCTGAGAGCGAAGAAGACGCTGCCGTGTGAGATGCTCGATGAAGATTCTCTAGATAAACTTTTGTTTGATAACACGCAATCAGCAGCCCTGTCGTACATCCCAATCACCGCTTCAGATGTTTGCAGAGGTACAAAACACAGCACTACAAAACTTGTCTTGATTGTGAGCAAGATGATAACAGATCTTTGTTGACATGTCTAGCGTATGTTCTTGCTCAGCAAGCACTTGACTCTTGCGCCTTCTCCTCATCCATGTTTATTATGATGGGATGACGTTTTTTTAACTCGTGAAAAGGCGTGATGGTGTAGACTGGTAGTAGTAGCGAGTGTAGAGGGGGGACAGGACTCAGAAATGCGGAGAGAACGAGAGGAGAGGCAGAAAGCAGAGGAGTCAGACGAGACGAGATGAGATGAAATGAGATGAGAAGAGAAGAAGAGAAGAAGAGAAGAGAATATATTAGCAGAGGAGAGAGAAGTAGAGAAGAGATAAAAGAGAAGAGAAGAGATTTGACATGTTCTTATCTCTTTCTTGCGTAACAATATTTTGTAGGATGTACACTGGTGAAAACAAAAACACTGGTGAAAACACATAATCGACAACCTTACTGCGGCCTGAAGACTCACTAGTCACATTCACTGATGTCCAACTTTTCGCGAGCAACATCATCAGTGCTGATGAAGTTCACCTCTCCCATCCTCCTCCTTCTCCTCCTCTCTCTCCCCACATCCCGTGCTGTACGCTCACGATATCAGAGCGCCGCTAGATCTCTCAGTCTTCGCGCCAACAATCTCATGAAGGTAGACTTTGAAGCAGCCCTGTCGGGCAACGTGAAAGTGCAAGAGGAAGCCATGAAGCTTCTCTTCACCCCAGTCAGGTGCTCCTCGTAGCCTCCGGACTGATAGACCTGAACATGTCAACAGCGTGTCGATATGGGACTCGCCCTACAGTCCCAGTCAGACCAACGCTGGCTTGTTTCGAGGAGTGACGTTCAGGGTAGTTGGTAAGTCGCCCATGCTCTGTCTGACTTCCTCTCCTTCTGATCTGTCTTTCAGTCTATCAAGTCCCGCCCTTCGTGAACATCGAAGACCCCGAGGCGACATCGCTGGGGGATCCAGGGAACGTGAAGCAGAAGCGCAACTACGTCAACGGCAAGATATCAGGCTTGATGTGCGGGAGCGAGAGCAGGAGGCGAGCAGCTGACTGTTGGCATGAAGTATCGACCTCCTGGAGCAGATTAAGACCCTTCTCAACTGTGAATTCGAGTACCTCTGTATTCTAACGTCGTCCGAGCGACAGTGTCTTGACGTCCGTGCTGTTAGATCCATGCAAGAAGTCAGACAACACCTGCTACGCTGCTGACTTCGCCTCCTCCTCTGCCGCCCTCCAGATGCTCAACGTTGACGGGCCGGAGTCAAGCCTCTACTACGGGGGAGGAGCTGACATGTGTCCGGACTTCAACTGCCTGGTCGGAGGGAACGTCAAGATATCGGAGAAGAACCTGCGCAACTACTTCTTCACACAGTAAGTCGCAAGCCCCCTCCTCCCTGCACTCTCTCACTCCCCCGCAAGGCCTTTCCTTCAGAACGGATTCGTGCTCGTCACTCGATCGGGAGAGGCAGAGCCAAATATCATGAGCTGGGCTGATCCCATGACCTCGTTCGTGTGGACCATCGTCATGATCGAAGTCAGCGTCGTCGCTCTTTGCCTCTGCTTCACCGAAGGGTACGGATTCATCAACAGCCTCTCCGAGTTCAGGTGGAATCCAGTCCGTCTCCTCGTCGAGGGGTTCTACTGGTCGCTTCTCCAGCTGTTCGGGGCGGCTGCCAGGACTCCGGTGACGGTAGCTGGGAAAATCTTGATCGCCACTCAGCTGTTCTTCAAGCTCATCCTCATCTCCGTCTACACAGGTGCCTCTACTGAACTAGAGCTGGGCGGGGCGTGACGCCTGCTGCAGGGAACCTGAACTCCTTCCTGTCCTCCGTCCCGACCAGCACTAGAGTGGGGCGGATAGAAGATTTCTTCAAGACTACTAAGGGCTTCTCCAAGAGCAACAGCATCTGCGTACCCTCGGAGAACCCATCAGTCCAGCAGTACCTCCAGCTGCTGTCGGAGAACAACCCGGACTTCCAGTACCAGCGAGTCAACGGGACGACGGTCGATGACTGCCTCATGGCAGTCTACCTCAACAAGGCCACAGCGACTTTCTACGATCAGCCGGTTGTGATAGCGAAGCTTGCGTCCTCCTTCTATCAGAACAGCCTGTGCGGTAACGTCGGGGGCTACTGCAGGGACCCCAACGCGACTACCATGAAGACTCTGACAAACTTGACCGACCTGACCAAGGTGACAGCCCCTGTGATGCTGACGTGGAGGAGGAAGAGGGAGGGAGGACGGGGTAGACGAGAGTGAAAGTGAGAGAGGAGGGGTGAAATGAGTACGATGAGCAGGAATGCTGCTGCTGCTGCTGCTGCTGCTGCTGCTGCTGCTGCTGCTGATGATGATGATGATGATGATGATGATGATGATGGAGATGAGGGAATTTATGATGATGGAGATGGAGATGGTGGTGGTGGTGGTGGTGGTGATGATGATGACGCTGATGCTGGTGCTGATGCTGATGGAGATTGCGATGATAACAATGAAGGGCAAGATGATCGATGAACTTTATTCTTCACGCTGACGTCGCTTCAGATCCCCATCAACTCGGAGGTCACGCTCACCGTGCTAGGAGAAGAAGCATGTATCTGCCCTTCACTAGACGTTCAGTACAACTGCATCAACAGCAACAACTACGAGTTCCTCGGTGTTTCAGGCAGTCTGGTCACTGTCGGCGAGCTCTTCAACAACTTCGGCTATGGATTCGCGTTCCGGAGGTCCGTAGACCCTAAGGCTCTCAAGTACACGACCTTCAACCAGGTGAGGCTGGAGGAGAAAGATGGAGAGGAAGCAAGAAGAAAATGAAGACAAGGATGATATGCAGAGGGATGGCAAGTAAGAGGGGAGAAATGAAGAGCAGGAGGAAGAGGAGGACCAGGAGGATGTCAGGAGTGAAGAGGAGGAGGAAGAGAAAGAAGGAAGGAAGAGGACGAGGAAGAGGACGAGGAAGAGGACGAGGAAGAGGACGAGGAGAGTTGAAGGCTCAGAATAGGAGACAGAAGGTTACTGCAGTAGTAACGCACATGCGCCTTTTACAGGCGATACTTTTTCTCCAGGAGCTTGGAACCCTTCAAGACATAGCCTCTCAGTGGCTGCCTGACGTACTTGACTCACCTGTTTCTGCTGCTGCTGCTGCTGCTCCTCCTCCTCCTCCTCCTCCTCCTCCTCCTCCTCCTCCTCCTCCTCCTCCTGTCTCATCTGTGCTTGCGTTTCAGCCCATGCCTCATCCTGAGTTTCATCTTCACGCTACATATCTCCCATCCGTCGTCGTGCCCGCTCTCAATCTTTTAGCCATCGATCCCATCCCATGCTCCGTGTCCTTAGCCCTGACTCATTACTCCCTTGTGTGCCGCTTCGTTCTCTTCTCTTCTCTTCTCTTCTCTTCTCTTCTCTTCTCTTCTCTTCTCTTCTCTTCTCTTCTCTTCTCTTCTCTTCTCTTCTCTTCTCTTCTCTTCTCTTCTCTTCTCTTCTCTTCTCTTCTCTTCTCTTCTCTTCTCTTCTCTTCTCTTCTCTTCTCTTCTCTTCTCCTCTTACTCTCCTTTCCTCCGCTTCCCCTCTCACTCTTCTTGATTTCAGGGTTCTCAGCTTGTGTGCCCGGGCTCAGGCCAGGGTCCCGTCACCCTGCAGCTGTACTCGAGCTGACGTTCGAGCTGGCTGCGCAAGTGACCCGAGGGCGCAGGAAGAACGTGTCCGGCCTCTTTCTCTTCACTGGCTGCGGAGTCCTGCTGGGGACTCTCATCGGACTAGGCGAGCTGCTGGTCAAGATCAGCATCGCCTGCTTCAAGTGCTGCATGGAGTTTAAGAAGAGGGTGAGGAGAGGAGGAGAGGAGAGAGGAGGAGAGCGGAGGAGGGAGGTCGACTGAGGAGGGAGGTCGACTGAGGGGGGAGGTCGAATGAGGATTCAAGAGGGAAATGAGGGGAGGGAGGAGGGGAAGGTGAGTTGATGAGGGAAAGGGGGAGTAGGAGGAGAATGAGAGGGAGGACTGCGTTGTCTCATGGGTCTGGCAGGTTGAGGCTGAAATCAAAGATTATGCTGACACTGTGAAACGTGAGCAAGGGCTTCCTGTTGAGCCTGAGGTCCGACCTGCTCCCTGCTCCCGGCTCCCTGCTGCACGCCCCGTCTTGTCTCAGTCCTCTAATCCTGTCTCCTCCTGTCTCCTCCTGTCTCCTCCTGTCTCCTCCTGTCTCCTCCTGTCTCCTTTTCCCCAACTCCTTTCTCGCTGCTCCTCCCTCGTATCCCTCTCGTCCCCCTCTGGTCTAAGTGACTCTGGTCTCCTTCTTCCTGCTCGTCCTGTGCTTCTCATGCTCTCACGCAGCTCTCCGAGCACGGAAGGTTTGTACAGAACATTGTTGACTCACTGGATGATACCAAGGTGCGAAGGAGGGAGGGAGGGAGGGAGGGAGGGAGGGAGGGAGGGAGGGAGGGAGGGAGGGAGGGAGGGAACATTGTTTTCAGCGAGGATGATAATTTTGTTTCTTGCAGGAGAAAATTCAGGAGATTGAGAGCATTTTAAGGAGGGTAAACAAGTGAACACCAAGTTTCAAACAACAACTTTTTTTATCTCCTCTCATCCTACTCCCTCTCCCCTCCCGCCCTCTGCCTTCCTCCTCCAACTCAGCTGGTCAGCCGCATGGGAGCAAGAGGAGGAGACTGCATCCCTGACTCCGATCGCTTTCCTGCCTTGACCAGCGCCTTGACGAACTTGCGCGCTACTTTCGAGAGGAGGAGGAGGGAGAGTAGCTCCTTCCAAAGATCTTCCGCGCTCTTCTCAAAGTTCTTGTTGATTTTCTTCCACAACACGCAGTCGATGGGGCCGATCTCTTCCGACTGCCTCACCTGCAGTGCATTCTTGGCGTTGAGGATGGCATGCCGGAGCTCTGACAGCATCTGGAGCGCGTGCTCGGCAGCAGAGCGCGAGTAGGCGATGGAGAGCTGGGAAGAGTCAGAGGAGGAGGAGGAGGAGGAGGTTGAGGAGGAGGTCGTCTTCATCCCTTTGAGGGTCCAGAGCGTTCGCTTCACAAGAGGATCGATCATATTGCTCCACTTCTTGATGCTGGGACCCATCTCTTCCTTGATCCAACGCAGAGCCGCGCTCTCAGGGCTGTTGGACAAGATCGTAGCCACCCTCCCTTCCAGCTGCACCGCCCTTGCTCTGATCACCTCAACCGATCCCTCGTCCTTCCTGGCCGTCCCGAGTTCCTCCTGCCTCTTCCCACCTGCCTCCTCCAGCATGGCGGCGACACTCTTCTTCCCATGGCGCAGCGCGTCGTCGAGCGGCGTCATCTCGAACCTGTCCCTGGTGTTGACGTTGATGCCTTCACAGCTCAGCAGGAACTCGATCACCGACGTCGACCCGCAGGAGGCTGCGAGGTGAAGAGCAGTCCTCCGATCGTAGTCTCCCGTGTTCACCTCGATGCCGTTCTCCACCAGCACCTTGATGTTCACCACCATGTTCTTTGATGCGAACGAACACATCTTAGCCGCGTACTCCTCCATTTTCCTCTGCAGGCTAGCTCCATGCTCTCTCAGCACCACCTGCACCTGCGCTGCTGCCCTGATGTCGAAGTGATGCCTGACCGCGTCCTCCAACGGAGTTCCCATGAACCTGTCCTGCGCCTCCACGTTCGCCTGCCTGCTCAGCAAGAACTCCACCAGCTCCACGTGCCCCTCGCACGCTGCCAGGTGCAGCGCCGTCCTCCCGTCGTAGTCACTGTCGTTGACGTTGACACCGTTGTCAAGCAGCCGCCGCACCTGCTCCACGTTCCCCGCGTACGCAGCCTCGCACAGCTCAACGCCGATCTGGTTGCCGGGCAGGGAGTACTTGATCCCGGGTATCGCCTCCCGCATCACCCGCACCACCTCGTCGTGCTTGTTCCTCACTGCGTCGTTGACGGGCGTGTTGTCGTAGTTGTCCTTCTGATTAGGATCTGCCCGCATCTCCAGCAAGAACCTCACCATCTCCTGATGCCCCTCGCTCGCCGCCACGTGCAGTGCCGTCCTGTTGGCGCCGTCCCGATCAAGGACGGTGACGTCACCGGAGGAGCAGAGGGAGCGGACCTTGCCCAGGTCGCCAGCGGCGGCGGCGGTGAGGAGGAGATTGATTCTCTCAGCTTTCCTCTGCAGCTTCAGCTGGGAGATCTTGTCGGTCGACTGCTCGTTGCCCCCGCTCCCAGCGTCGCTCTCCTCCCCACTGTTGAACTCGGAGTTGGACGTCTCCTCGCCCTCCTCGCCCTCGCTCTTGTTCTGCACGCTCGGCTCGCTCCTCTTGCGGCCTCTCGACCGGAGGGAGGAAACGTTGGACCCCTTGGCGCTCGAGTTGAAGCTGATCCTGCTGGAATGCTTGCTGCTGCCTCCTGCCTGTGACTTGGTGACGATCTCGAAGCTCCTCAGCGCGTTTTTGGCGACCACGTCCTCGTCCTTGGGATGGTTCTTGAGGAGGTCGAAGAACGCCTTCCTGTCCAGCTTCATGCAGATCGCTCCGTTCTTGGACGCCCTTGCTGTGTGGAAGTGCCGGGTACCGAAGAAGAAAGAGATGCTTCCTACCGCCTGATGCGCCCGTCTGACGTTCTCCACCACGTCCTTGCCGTTACTCTCCTGCACCTCCTCCACAGACCCGTTGACGACAAAGAACATCTCCTTGCAGACTGTGGAGGATGGTCAGGGAGGATGAATGGTGGAGTAGAGGAAGGAAGGAAGGAGACCGGAGAGTACTCAAACGAGGAGGGGGCGGAGAGAGGACAAGGAGGACATCACTATGAGAGTAGTAGAAGAAGTTTGACGAGGACGGGAGAGGAGGACGAGAGAGGTGGAAGAAGAACAACAAGTCCGTCCTCACCTTCCGAGATGTTGTAGAGATGCTCCTCCGGAGCAAACGACACCTCACACAGCAGCACGCACACGTCGTCAAGCATGTGTTCAGTGCAGTCCTTGAAGAGCTCGACGGAGTCCAGGTACTCCCGGGATATGAACCGAGCGACCTCTATTCGCAGGCCATGGCTCAGGTCCTTGAAGATTATCCCTTGATCCAACGACGAGCCGCTGCGGATAGCCTGAAAGTGGTTGCGGATCTCATCCTTGAGCTGGGGGGAGAAGGTCGGGTTGGAGACGAAGGAGTCAACCACCTCCATCTGCTCTCTCATCTTCACTACGTCCTCATCTTTCTTCATGACAAGCGTCGACACCTCACCGACGATGACGCGGAACAAGGTCATGTTCAGGCACATGAGCACTATTGTGAAGCCGATCTCGACCACGTTCTGCGGGATCAGCGCTCCTACGGCCCCGTTGACCGTCAGCGTCGTCGACACCCAGTAGAAGCAGAGCAAGTAGCGCTCCCACGTGGTAGACCCCTCCTCCATCCCGATAGTTTCGCCCCGTGGGTACGTCTCGTTGACGAACTGGGGGGACACGTAGTTCCAACTGATCGCCTGCTGGGGGAACCAGTACCGGTAGGAGCGCCCCAGGAAGTACCAGGTGCATGCGGAGAGGTGGAGAGTAGCGACTATGATCTTGCCAAGGGTGTGTATCATCCCGTGACCGTTCCTCGCCTGATACCTCCGGAGGTTGGAGGAGGAGGCGTGGAAGCGAGCTCGCACGAGGACGATCTTGTTGAGCCGCAGCCAGCAGCAGACCTCATAGGAGGCACCGCAGAAATGAGCGAACCAGTCGAGGGGAAAGACGGCGACGAGGACGAGAAGGTCCATCTTTCTCAGGATCTTGGCGCGGTCGGTAATCCATACAGATTTGCTGTTCTTGTACGCCGTGTTGGTCTCGACGAGCAGGTGGAGGTAGAGGAGGACGTCGGGGACGAGGCGCGTGCAGAGCTCGGGGGAGCTGGTGATGCTCGACCAGGGGAGGAAGCCAATGCGGATGGGGTCGAGGACGAACTCGAAGAAGCTGACGTATCTCATGAGGAACTTCCAGGAGGACATGAGGGAGCTGTAAGGGTTGAGAGCCGATCCCATGAACACAGCGCTCCTCTCTAACGCGCTCTTCTTCTCTCGCACCACCTTGCAGATCTCGCTCCAGGTCAGCTTGTCCTCCGTAACTGTCTCCCTGTCGAAGAAGTCCCGGAACTCCTCGCAGTTGTACTCAGTTATCTTCCACTTGCGCTCCGAGTAGATGCGCGTCAGGAACCTCTTGATCTTGTGGTTGGGAATCGGGTCTGACATGCTGCCAACAGTCTGTAGGAACTCTTTCTCCCACACGTTGAGGTTTGCTTGACCGAACTCGTTCGTCAGTTTCTTGTTCCCTACCCACCTTAAGGAGTTCAAGTAGCCTCTCAGTCTGACCTCTTCGTTCCCGTCCTGATCTCTTGACTCGGAGTCCTTGTCGTGGCTGGTCTTCCCCTTGGCATCCTCCTCGTCCTCGTCCTCGTCCTCCTCCTTCCCGCTGCTACCCGGCTCAAGGAGGTTGATCCATCGCCTCCAGAAGTCTTCGCAGGTGACAACTTCGCTCTTTTCCTCCTCCTCCTCTTGCGCAAACACGTCGAGGAAGCACTGCAGGCCTGACTCTCCGATGAAAGGCTGGATGCTTTCCAGATGAGTCTGAAGAACAGAGTTGGACCCTAGCGAGAGTTTCTTCCAGAGGTCATGGAGAGAGAAGAAAAAGGATCTTACTCGCTCTCTCTCTTCCAGTGGCAGCTTCTCAGCTTTGGCCCCTCCTCTGATCCCTTCCACCTTCTGATCCAGCAGCACCTGCTGGAGGGACGAGGAGGACGAAGCTCGGCCGAATTTGGTCGGAGACCCGGGAGAGCTGGGCTGAGCTGTCCTGGGCCTGTCCGACCTGGTCTTGTGCATTGCTGGGAGATGGTTGACGGAGAAGTCAGGAACAAGGTGGAGGACCTTCTGATTGTAGACATACTCGCTCATGTTACACAGGAAGTCCTTCTTCCCTTGCTCGGTCTGGCCTCCCAGCATCTCCATCACGCTCTCCATAGGAACGTAGAGAACTACAGTCGCGTCTGTCGTCGCTCTCACTACAAACGGAGCCTGAGACCCTGTCAGGGCCTGGTAGCACCCAAAGTAATCTCCGCTGTGTAGCTGGAAGTCGACCTCAGAGACCGGGCTGCCGCTTGCCTGTCCTCCCACTTGCTCGCCCAGCTCTGCTGCCAGCACCATGTTCGCACCTCCGTCAAGGAGCAGCAGCATGAACCGCTTCTTGTCGTCCTTGCCGTCGTAGATGACTTCGTTCTTCCTCCAGTACTTCTTCTTGCTCCCTCCTGCCAACTTTGCGGCCGTCGTCTCGTCCAGCAGCCCTCCCACCTTCGATTTGAGCAGGCCCAACGTGAGCTCGTCTATCTTGATGTCAATGAGCAGCTTGCGGAGCTTGCCGCTCCTGCTCAAGACGTCCGTAAGCGTCAGGCTCTTCCCCTCCTCCTCCTGCTTCACAGGCTTTGCCTCATCTATGATCTCCTCCACCTCCACGCTCTCCGTCGACGCTGACAGTCGCTCCAGAGCTGTTGAGATGCTTTTGGCCGTCACGCCCTCCCCGCCCCCGGTCTCGCTGCAGAAGATACTCTTGACAAGCTCGTATGCCGCCTCCATCTCCACCAGTCGCAGCGCAAGACCTCGGAAGGTGACGGCAGCGAGTTTCTCCCACTTCATCCCATGGTTCGCGACGCTCTCCTGCGCCTCCAGCAGCTGGTCCAGCTCCTCGTAGAGCGCCATCTCCTCGTCAGAGTCAAGCTCGCCCTCATACTCAAAGTCTCGCTCCTCTCCCACATTCTTCTCGAGATCAACCATGGCTGCCTTGCACTCCTGCAGAAGGCGGGAAGGGATCTTCCAGCCTCCTCCCCCCCTGCCCTCAGACCTGTCGGGCGACCTGCTCGAGCTCCTGGCCAGCAGCGGCAGGTCTGTCGAGCTCATCCTCCCATCACTTGCCGGCATCACATCAAGCTCAGTCGTCCACAAGCTGCTCAGGTTGTAGGTGGCCTCCAAGGTCTTGGAAGCGTTCCAGGCTTTCAGCGGCCTCGCAGCGCTGAGCTCCATGGAGCTGCTCTCCCCAACGTCAATGCTAATTGACCTCCTCATGGTCACCTTCTCCGTTCCTGTCAGCATCGCGTCGAGAGTCTTCCGCATGTCAACAGTCAAGTCCTTGATCTTCTCCCCGACCGACCGGAGCTCCTTGGTCACGAGGCTGGTCTCGGAGATGAGCTCTATCGCTAGCTCCATGTGCTTGCTGCTCGACATGTACCAGGCATGCATCTCTTCCTCGCTCATCCTGGTGGGGCTCGTCCGGTCGAACCCTTTCTCTATCAGCTTCTTGATCAGCAGCCTGACGTCGGCGATAGAGATGCTGTCAATCTGCTGCAGAAACTCTGCTCCTTCTGCTGTGTCCTTGTAGATCCCCAAGTCCCCTCCCCAGCCTGAAACGGCCAATCAGAACTCTGCTCCTGCTCCTGCTCCTGCTCCTGCTCCTGCTCCTGCTCCTTCTCCTGCTTCTCCTGCTCCTCCTCCAATTTCTTCACCTTCTCCTCGTTTCCTCCTACTCTTTCTGCTTTTTGATCTCTCTCTCCCCCTCCTCCCTTTTCTTCTCCTCACACACGCAGCAAGATACTAGTTATTCTACACTAACAACACTTACTTTGAATCAGCTTGCCACAGTATCGATGGTACAACGTTCCTCCCCGTAACGTGTCGTCTAACGGTGTTCCTCCCCACCTGTCTTTGCATCCGGGATCTGCGCTGACTCCAAGGAGAAAGTTGACAGCGAGGATGCGAGCTTCTGCCGCAGCAAGGTGCACTGAAGAGAAGTCAGTTGGAGGAGGAAGCGAGAAGACGGAGAACGAAAAGGTGGAGGAGAAAGTGGGAGGAGAGTAGAGGAAGGAGAGCAGGAGTGAAGTCAATCAGAAAGCAATAAGGAGAGCATGGAGAAGAAGGAAAAACAGGCAAGGAAAGCAAGGGAAGGGTGATGTAGAGGAGGAGGAGGAGGAGGAGGAGGAGGAGGAGGAGGAGGAGGAGGAGGAGGGAGGAGGAGGAGGAGGAGGAGGATGAGAAGCGTGTTTCTAACATGGATATCGGAAATCGTAGTCGCCGACATCCACCGGAGTCCCATACTCATGCATCAGACGCAACTTCCGCAGGTCGCCGCTGCTGGCAGCCCCGCACATCTCCTCCACCCCGACGTACTGGGGCATCGACCCGCCCTTGGCCTTGAGCAGGGTGGCGACGAGCGAGTGGCCGTTGAGCAGAGCGTCCTGCAAGGGAGTTCCCTTCCACCTGTCGTGTGGGCTGGGATCTGCCTTGTGGGCTAGGAGGAACTCCACGATCTTTTCATGCCCTTCGGCGCTCGCAACATGCAGCGCCGTCCTGTTGTCGTAGTCGCCCAGGTTCGGCTGCACTCCGTTTTCGATGAGCCTCCTGACCTGCGCCAGGTCGCCGTTGCCTGCAGCCGTACAGAGAGCAGAGGCTGGGTTGTCGATGTCCAGGGACGCCTTCCACTGGGTGAGAAGCCCCACGATGAGGGTCTGCTTGTGGGAGATGGCCTCCTGCAGTGGCGTGTTGCCCCAGCGATCCTTGATGTTCTTGTCTGCTCCATGGTTGAGAAGTACCTGCGTCCTGATGGTCAAGGACAAGAGAGGAGGAGAAGGAGGAGGAGGAGGAGGAGGAGGAGGAGGAGGAGGAGGAAGAGGAGGAAGTGAGGAGGATTACGAGAAAGAGGTGATGGAGAAAAGGAAGTTGAGGAGGAGGAGACGGTGGTGAGACAAGGAAGGCAAGGAGAACGAGATCGTGATGGTGATGGTTGAAACAGAAGAGGTGGAAATGGAGGAGATGAAGAGGAAGAGGAAGAGGAAGGAGGAGGAGGAGGAGGTGGAAAAGGAGGAGGAAGAGGCAAGAGGAGGCCTCACCTCTACCATGCGGTAGTTTCCTTCAGCGCAGGCGATGTGTAGCACAGTCCTGCCGTCATAGTTTTTCTCGTCGATGTTGGCTCCCTGCCGCAGCAAGATCCTGACAGTGTCCACATCTCCCACATGGGCAGCATGGCAGAGGGAAAAGAACTGCTGCTCGGCTCTCGTCCGCATCGACTCTGTTATCCTCCTCTTAATCTCCATCTTCTGCTTGTCATGCACGTCCTCCTCGGACCCGGGCAGGGGCAGACCGTTGTTGTCGAGATCGAACGATCGAAGGATATTCTCACTGATCATAAGCTGCTCCTCCGGGTAGTTGCTGAAGATTTCAGCGCTATCCTCCTGCTTGAGCACAAGGAGCTGAACGTCTCCATCCAGCCTCGCCTTGATCGTGTTCACGTGGTTGATGCCGAGGAAAAAAGGAACCTGTCGTCAGAGTGAGCACGACAACAGCAGAGGTGCAGGCAGGAGGGGACGATACCTCTCCTACCACAGGAGCCATGTCGGGGACGTCGTTGCGGATCACGCCGATCACATGCTCTTGCTCGTCTATGACTTGCACCGACCCGATGTGCACGAAGTAAACTTCTCGAGGAATCTGAGGAGAGTCGAGCAGAGTTAGAGGAGACGATGGTAAGCTCTCATAGTCAGACCTCGTCTTTCTGAACAATCTCCTCTCCTGGCATGAAGTGCATCAAGCGCAGTTTCGTCATCAGAGCCTTTGCTTGCAAGTCAGCTCAGGGGCATCCAGCGCCCAATCACTCACATTGAAGAACTTGGAGTTGCAACCATTCATGAACTTTCCCCTAGTCGCGCACTTGTCCATGATGGTGCGATAGTTGGCCTCTGCCACCTTGATCTTCAGTGACCGCGGCAAATCCATCCTCGTCCCTGCTCGGTTCTGGAGGTTCTTGGTGTACTGGAACTCGTAGTACTGGCTCACTCGCTCCTGCAGCTCGATCGGGATCTGTTTCGCAGTCATGAACTGTCGAACTTTTTCCATGTGCTCCTTGTGCGCTTCGGCCGATGGGTCCTTGCGGACAAGGTAGTTGAGGAGAGTACCCAAGATCAGACCTTGGAGGTAGACCTGGCACTTGGCATCAGACAAAAAGCAGGATGTTTCTGGTCCTTCTTACTTGTAGCATCATGACCAGAAGAGAAAATAGCATCTCCTGCACATTGTTGGGGATGCCGATGTCGTACCCCAGAGTTGACAGGGCGTTAAGGCCTTTGTATCTGCACACAAAGTGAGACGAGAAAAATTGTTTGGAAGGGCTTCACATGCAGAGGAGGTAGTTCTCTGCCTCCGGACTTGTATGTATGCTGTAAAGTGGTAGGATCTGCTCGAAGTCGTACACCTGCAGGCTGTCAGCTGCCGGTGCAACCTTGCTGCTTCAGAGCTCACCCATGTCTTGTGAGAGAAATCCTGCGTTCTCGCAAGAAAGTAGAGAATACACCCCACCCAGTGGGAGGACAGCAGGATCACGAGGCCGACGTTGATGGCTTGAAGCTTCTGCACGCTGAATCTCAAATCTTTCGTCATCGACTCGAAGTACTTGATCAGACGGCTCATCCTAATCACAACTTTTGGTATGGTTGACAACCACCACAGCCAGATCAGGTAAGAGTCTGCAGGGAGGGTCAAGCTAACGGCCTGCGTTACCGTCAGATGCTCTGTATTGGAAGAGATGCTAACATACATAGTAGGTGGTAAGAGAGAGAAATAATTGAGGGAATTTGTATTTGAGGTAATACTTGGCAACTCCTCTGAGCGTATCGACAGGCTCTTCCTGACCGGAATACGTTCCAGCCGGTATGATGGTAATCAGGTTCAAGAAAGCATCAACAACAAAGAAGAAATCGCAAGTGATGTCGGTGAACAGTATCCAGTTTGCTGAGTTGAATCCTGGGCTGCAGAACCCAAGACGAAAGGGAAAGGCCCAGATCTCGTAGGAGAGCGGAATCATCATAAAACGGTTCCATTCGCTCAGGAGTTTGGCGTCTGCATTCAACAGCCTTATCCTGTTCATGTTGCTGCTCTTTGGAAGTTTGAAGCTAACGTGATATGATTCTTTCTTTGACTTACGGCGACTGAATTCAGAAGTTGATTTTACAAGTATGGGAACGATTCTGCGCTTTTTCCCCATGATGCCTCCTTTGAACAGGTCTTGATACCCATTCTCGGAGCCTTTCCTCTTGTTGTTAGAACTGGCAGAAATCCAGACCGGTTCTTTAGTCATGTCGTCAGAACAGGTTATAAACTCGTGCAGTATGTAGATCTTGGGCTCTCGAAAGGGGTCGTTGCTTTGACTTGAGGAAGTATACGGAAAGAAATCGTTACTTGCTGATTTCGTTAGCACGGCACTGGCCATTCCCGGGAGGGGCACCAGTGAGTTCCACGCAGCAGGATCCTCCTGAAGCGCTTGGCTCGAATGCGATCTCGTGCTTCGATTCGAGCACGCGTCTTCATTTTCCGCGTGCCTGGGGTGCATGGTTGGCGATTTCATGCTACTGAAACTAGCAGATGTCTAAAGGGCGCGAGGGGAGCGGAACCGATTGACGTGAGAAGAAAAGTCTCCTTCAGATCACTGCAGGGTCAGAGGAGGTGACAGGGGAGGGGAGGGGATGAGAGGGGAGGGGGCAGGAGGGGTCCTGGCTGAGGGAGGAAGGAGGGGAGGGGGCAACGGAAGCAAGAAGTTAAAATAAGGGGGGTGAAGAACGCGCAATGAGGAAGGAATTGTTGGATCCCTTAGAGCGCGCGAGGGGGTGGTGGGGTGTACAATCACCCACCCATCTCTAGGGCCTTAACATATGAGAATGAGGGGTGGGCGAATGTTGACTCCAATCCATGTCAGCAGGAAAAAAAAGAAGATAGAAGGTGGAGGACATGTCACTCAATAAGAGGGGGTACTATCTGGTAAGAAGGGGGGTGGGGTCGGTTGGGTTACGACTTGGGATGGAAGCTTGCGTCTCTTTCCAATAGGGGAGACCCTCCCACCCCTATCTGCCCCTTTTTCGTACCACCACCCACCACCCACTTTTCCCCAAATTCATGGGTGGTACAGAATAATTGCCATGGAATTTCCAAGTCCTACCCACCCACTACCGAACTCATAGATTCGAAGACGTACCCCACCCTACTCTGATCTCATTTCACAGCTTCCTCACAGGAGCCCCACCCCTAATTTCCCATTTCTTAGTACTTAGTACCACCCCAGGACATACCCCACCCCCACCCAAGGATGAACTTTTACGTGCGAGGGATCACCTACCATCGGTGGAACTTCATGGCGTACCGTGACCGTGCACGTGTCACCCGGACCTCCCGGTGAGTGATCGCCGGGTCCCCGGGGCCTCAGGGCCCAGTAACTGGACTGATTTTTAACTTAACTTTGAGTAAAGGCTGACCGTCCTAACAGAACTGCTTTTTAACTTAACTTTGAGTAAAAGAGAAGAAGTGTCAGCACCGGTCGATGGGTCGGACGGAAATGTCGGGCCCGGGGGGGGGGGGCCGGGGGGGGGCGGCGGGCCGGGCCCAAACTACCGTACCGGGTGACCGGCCCGCCAATGCCACTACCGTCCGGTGGGTTGAAAGTTGCTGCCATAAGTCACATCTTAGCACGGTGCGGTAGGTCACTGGGGGTAGGGGTGGTAGATGAAAGGGTGGTCTTGAGAGGCGAATGAAGGAGAGATTGCTCGCTGGGTGGGTGGGGTACTCCACGAACGCACCTACCTCTCTTGAAAAGCTCTCAGTAGTGAGAATTAAGATTGACAAGATTGACCAGGGGTAGTGATAAGTAGACGTAAATCTGATGTGACCTAGTTGAGCATTTTGTCAAGTCAGTTATTATTGCGAGACAGTAAGGTGGTGAGGACGCCTATTAGACATTAGAGCTATTAAATTGAATGGGTTGGGGTGGTCAAATTTGGCTGTGTAGGGGTGGGTGATAAAAGCAGGAGCAAACTAGCGCGTAATTCCATACATGGCGCCATGCTGTTGATAACTGGGCCATCACATCGACGTCATCACAAGTCATCAAGACATCGGAGGGAGAAGAGTGTGCAAGAAGACAGCCCCGTGAGATACGCAGGAGCATATGAGAGGAGGCGACTGAGGAGAAGGTTTGCTGCTAAGGAAAAAAGCGATGGACTGGTCAGGGTGATTGATGGGGAGTGTGAGGTGTTGAGTGGGAGTGCACACAACCGATAGTAAGGTCAAGATGCCGATGTAAGCGAGGTAGGATGATTGGTATGATGGCACTCAAGACTATATAGTACTCCACTCGAAAACACACAGCACACTTGCTTTTTTTTCTTGCAGCCATGAACAACAGTGAGATGCTAACGTGTATACACCAGGCTACTTCATCGAAGCAACCTCGTAACAAGAGGATAGATTGCTGAGATGTTGGCCGCGGCTTCGTTGGCAGCAACTGTGGCAACAACCTCCTCAAAGGTTCTGTCCTCCACGTCCTCCACTATGCGCAGAAGCAGCCTCCAGACCAACGAGGAGATCAAGCTGTTTGCCGATGACTCAGAGGGGCTCGAGAACGTGATCCCAAAGTCCACTCGACTGTTTGATGAACATCTTAGCAAATTACACCATTCTGGCATTTGGCAGGAACGGCGGCTAATCGCTTGCTCGGAGTTTGTTTACGTGCTCATGCCGTCGGAAGCACCAGCAGAACAATCTGGTCAGTGCAAGCTGGTGAAAGACGCTTCCTCGGACAGTTCTGAATGCCACTTCATACTTCTGCAAGGAGGGTATCTTGCGATGTATGAGACAGAAGAGGAGTTAATAGCGCGGAAAAGCGACACGGGAGGAATCGAATTCAGCTTGCATTCGACCAAGATCCTACAGCTGAATAAGAACGAGAAATCAATAATCTTGGCAGCAACAAGCTGCAAGTATACACTGATCTTCAACAAGGAAGAGGAGTATGAAGTTTGGTCGAAAGCCTTCACAGAGCATTCGGAGTTTGCATTCAATGAGAAACAAAACATCACTGTAAAGATTCCGATTGTTGAGATCAAAGAAATCGCAGCGATGGACGACGCTGCTTTCAAACAGAGCAGCAATAGCCTCCCGCACTTCCATTTCCACAGGACGGCCTCTGAAAGTAATCATCTGCCTTTTCACTCAATCCCCTAGTCTCACTGATAGTGGTAACAGATGACAAAGCTGCAGCAGAAGACGGCGAGGGTCTGGACTCCTTCATGTTCCAGATCTCGACGATCCCAGAGGGCTACAACTCCGGTAGAAGTTACTTCTTCAGAACTCAAAATGTTGTCTCGGGAAGGAAGATAGTTGACATCTTGAGCGCTGTTGTTGTTTGCGCTCGCAAGTCGTTGAGAAGGAAGAGCGGCCTTGTTCTCATTCAGCGCAACGTCAAACGTTTTTACAACTCCACTCCTTTTCAGAGCCTCGTCGCCCTCTTGCTCGTCCTCAACTTCCTCTCCAACATCTCTGAGCAGCAGCTGAAGCCGCTGCCGGACTCTCCCACCTCTCACCTCTACGACAATCTCGACATCTTTTTCACTGGTGATCAGGTCTTCCGCCTCCTCGTCCAGAGCTCTGACGTCTTGCTTGCAATTGCAGTGCTCTTCACCGTCGAACTCTGCGTCAACTTCTTCGCCAACTTTTGGTGGGACTTTGTCTCGGACGGCTGGAACTTGTTCGACTTTGTTATCGTCTCGCTATCCATCCTGCAGCTGGCCCTGTCGTCGTTCCCCAGCCTGAGGCCCTTGCGGACGTTCCGAACTTTCAGGATCATCCGCATGTTTGGCAAGCTGAGGCAACTCAGGACCATTATCAACGCTATCCTGTCAAGTCTCGTCCCGGTCCTCCAGACCATGGCCATCTGCCTGGTCGTCATCTCAGGTTGGAACTGTTGCAAGCTCGACAGCTCTGATGCTTCTCCAGTGTACTGCAGCATGGGTGTTGAGTTCTTCAGCAGCAAGGCGCCTGATGAGTTTGGTAACAGGAGGAGCCTTGTCTCCCTCCTCCTCCTGATCGTCTTGCCGCAGGGAATTTCTTCCGAGGCTTCTATACTCTATTTAGCGTCATCGCCTTTGGCAAGTGGCCTGACGACGTTCTGCCGCCCTTCAACCCCGACGGGTCCGTTAACATCGGCAACGTGGCTTACATATACTCCTTCGTCCTCCTCGTCATCCTTGTGCTCTTGCAAGTGCTCGTAGCCGTCCTCCTCGAGAACTTCTTCAGCGCAGCGAGGAGGGAGAGAGAGAAGCTGCTGATGGAGCACGAAGACAAGAACCTCTCTACCGTGGCCAACCCTCTCCATAGCCTTCTCAGCTCGCTCTCAGTCCAGTTCGCTACCCCCTGCGACCTCGAGCAAAGGATGGACCTTATCTTCCAGGTCCTTGACTGCGATCGTGGGGGGACGTTGAGCTACGATGAGTTTGCGGAGGGACTGCACAAGATGTTTCCCCTGTGCAACAGGCTGACTGAGGACGATTTCTTCTCCTTCACCGCTGGTACAAACGAGCTCACATCTCAGCAGTTCCGGCAGTGCCTGTGGAAAGAGCTCAAGTCGTACATCCTCCGGAGGATGACAGAGGCTGCGGTCCTGCTGGATGGAGACAAGGAGTCGGAGATCATGCTGACGGCGATGAAGATGATGCTTGTGATGGGAGATCCGACCTTCGATGAGTTCGGGTCCAAGGATAAGGTAAATGTTGTTGAGATCTGTGGCGCTGAAAGCTGACGCTGCCGTCAGCTTCATCGTGGCAGGGGGATGAGCAGGCACAACTTGAGCGACAAGCTTGACCGAACTTCGAGCCATAGGTCGAGCTTGAGTTGCGATGTGCTGGGACTGCGGGAGGAAGTGCAGACATGGAGGAGCGAGTGTGTAGCTCTACAGCACAAGTGCTTCAACCTTGTAGAAGAGCTTGCTATGAAGGTGAACATGCTGCAGCCTCCTGCAACAGTTGCGAAGCATGTGAAGCTCCCAGATCATGGTGATGAGATGGTGTAGTAGATGCCTTTCAGTCTATCTTGCGAGAGAAAGATTCTGTAAATAGAAAGGAATACAAATAACATCGATACTGAAGGATTCTCTGGTCAGAAGTAGAATACAGCAACGGCAACGGCAACGGCAACGGCAACGGCAACAGCAACAACATCAACATCATCAAAAACAACAACAATATCATCATCATCATCATCATCATCATCATCATCATCATCATCATCATCATTTACTACTGCTACTACTACTACTACTACTACAGCAACTGCAACTACTACTACTACTAGCAGCACTACTACTACTACTACTAGCAGCACTACTACTACTACACATACTGCTACTACTACTGCTACTACTACTGCTGCTGCTGCTACTACTACTACTACTGCAACAGCAACAGCAACAGCAACAGCAACAGCAACAGCAACAGCAACAGCATTCAACAGATCTCAACAGATCTCCCTAATATACATCACTCTTGGCAGCCTCCTCTAGTCCAGGTCTTCTTGAAACGCGCGCTCAATGCTCTCAGGCGTGATTTCAGTGAAGAACCTCATGGAATTTGTCACTCCTGCCTCGCTCTCGCTGTCCCTTCCACCAGCTTCCTCCTGCGTCAACGACCGCGCGTTGCTCGACACCTCCAGTCGTGCATCGGCCCTCGGAGAGCTAGCATGGTGCTGTTCATGGGGAGCCGTCTGCTCATCAAAGTAGGGTCGCTTCTTCCTCGGCCTGGAGTCTCTTGCTCCCAGCGGCCTTCCCGGGCCTCTCTTTTCCCGCTTTGCATGCTCCAGCACCTCTTCAGCCGACCAAAGAGCTTCTGTTGCACCTGTCCACGTCCTTTTGCTCCATATGTCTCGAACGGTCTTAGCGCTGGTGCCATACTTGCTGGCCACGTCGGCACTCTTGCGGGAGAGGCTTGCGTCATCTAGACTGTCAAGGTCCTTCTCGCGGTAGATCTTGTATGCGAGGTCGCTGGTGAGAATCCTCGGACGAAACTTGGAGGATGCACACTCGATCTGATTTGACAGGTTGAGTTCGTCACTCATGACAAGTGTCTTGGAGCTTCTCTACTGGACTTCCATCAACAGATCCTGGCAGAAGCTGCAGATGTTAACACGCCGAGATGCTTGGTTGTATTGCTTGAGAGATAGAGAGATTCCTTTGAATGCTAAGGAGAAGACAAGAAGTAGTAGGAGAAAAGAGCGGAGGGGACCGGGAGGAGCAATAAGAAACGGGGAGAGAAGAGAGAGGAGATGAAGCTCAGCTAATCGAAGGGAGAAAGCAGCGGCTTGATGTGGAGAGACTATGAAGGTATGAGGGAAGGAGCAGGAGCAGGAGCAGGAGCAGGAGCAGGAGCAGGAGCAGGAGCAGGTGCAGGAAGGGAGCAGGGGTTCAGGTACCGGGCTCGGAAGTGGATAAGACCGCGCCTGGGCAAAGGGGCCGAGGGGTGACAGGTGGTATCGTGACTACTGGTCCCCTTGATCACGAAAAGAGCTGTTTTGAATGGCGGGTCATGATACCGACTGACAATCAAGCTGTGAATGGATTGATCGATCAGCGTCAAGTACCACATGGAAAGACATCGGTGAATGAAGGAAGAAAGTCCCATCAGCTGATTCAGGGAGAACTTACCATCAACTACTTTTCAGTGATTTCACCACCTTGTGATTAGGCGTTTGTTTGGATTGCGGTGATACATCACTTCCTGGTATCATCGCATCGAGCGAGTGGAAGACACGATGTCATTTACTTGTAAAAAAGAAATCTTTGCAACCTACATAATGGTGTACTGGACTATTCACATCATTCACACACGTGGGTGTCCACATCTTCGTAAATACGTGGAAATCTGCTTCAATCGTCCACGTTTTCAGTCCCACCCAAGAATTGTTGAATGGACGATGAATCGGGTCTTACCAACCACTCATCAACTTCATTTGACTTGCTGGAAGAAGAGCTTTCGAACGGGCTGATAGGAAGTATGTTTGCTTGCTCATGCTGTAAAAAGCCTTCTGTTCGATCAGACAGCTCGCTTGGTTCGGTTTCTCCTTGCTCAATAGAAGTGCGACCTTCGTCTCCATTGTCGATGGAGCCTGAACCTTCAGAGCTTGATAGCTGCCGTTTTGAACAAGACCGCCAAACCTTCTCAATATTCTTCTTCATCTCCTCGTCAGGAATGGAGTTGGTCTCAGGGATCGAGTTCGTCTCACTGGTCGATGAAGTCTGCTGCTGATTCCCAGGTGCCACTGATGACTCAGAAGTTGAATCTATCTGTTTCTTCATGTCTGTTCGCTTCTTCCTTGGCTTCGAGTCCTTTGAGCCAAAGGGTCGTCCCGGGCACCTCCTGGCTTGCTTTTCAAACTCAGCCCTTTCACTGTCAGTCCAAAGGGACATGGTTGCCTCTGTCCATGTTCTACGATCCCAAATATCCCTCACTGTCTTGGAGTTCACTCCAAACCTGTTTGAAACGAATGTGCTTTCCATCGATTTGTTCTCTAGATTATTCCCCTTTGCGAGGTATATCTGATATGCCAGATCCCTGTTCAGCACCTTGCTACGTGTCCTTCTAGAAGCAGGCTGTGACTGTGTTGGCTCACTCTCATGCGATGCACTGCTCTGACTAGGAGTGTCAGTTAAGTTGGACTTTGACCCATCCTCTTCCGTTTTGTGCTGCGTTCTACGCCAATTCGTCGCGCTACCTGTCCCGCTCTTTTCCAGTTTCGTCCTTGAATCATTTCCGCTCCCTGCGCTAGAGCTTCTATGACTTTTCTTTGATTCCTTCGTTGCTGACCTACTCCCTGCTGTTGACTCGCCCCTCCCCTGCACGCCTTTCCGCATTGCCGCTGTCTCCATCTCCGCTCGCTGCACTGTGACTGTGGACGTCGTTCTTGTATGTGGGTAAGACCTCTATAGGACCCCCGTAGGTGCCGTCCAGGTTGGGTTTTTCGAAAGAGAACTTTTCAGTTTGCGTCGGTTTTCTGAAAAGCAACACTTTCGATGGGAGGATGTAACCGTCCGACTATTTTCCCATTTGGCCCTTTTAATTGCTCCGAAATGCATCCTTTCGCGGACCGACGATTGTTGAGGGGCAGAGGGTAGGTTAAAAAGGGCAGATGGGACGGAATTTAAGTCATCCAGTCCTTAAACCCCCTACGGATGACACCCGATGGCCCTTTTACTACATCATCCTGACTCTGTCAGGTGCAATTGGAACCGTGACCGTCCCGGTTCGGGATGATACTATGATATGCATAGGGGATGTGCCACCCCAGTATTCCCGACTCAGTGTATCCGATCACGGTCTGCCACCAAAGGCTCCAGGCGCGGCGCGGCCGGGCAGTCGGGGCCGGCGAAATGGAGGGGGCGGCGGGGAGGCCCGGGCCCCGGGCCCGGGGGGCCGGGGGCGGCGGCCGCCGGCGGGCGCGGCGCCATCCGCTCGGATCCGGCGCAGTGATGTGAGGCTCGCGGCCGGGCGGCCGGGCCCGAGTCAGAGCCGGTCACCGTCCAACTGAGCCTGCCCGCACCGATGATAGTACCGCAGTCTGAGGCTGCGGCGGCCCGGCCCCCCCGGGTGATCGGACTCTGGCCCGCCCATCACGGTGGCACGGCTCGCCGCCCCCCGCCGGGTACGATCCCGCCGGGCCCGCCGTCGATGACGGTCCATCATTCAAGCCTGGCTAGTACCGACGGTGCAGTGCCCCGCGCCCGGCGATCATACCCGGGTCCGGCCTGAGTCGGCGTGTCTCCGACTACAGTGTCCGATCCGAGTCCCAGTCCCGGCCTGAGTCCCCCCGGACCCCGGTTAAGCGGGGGCCCCCGCTCCGAGTCCGCCAGTTAAAACTTTAATCAGTAAACAGCCTAACCCCCCCCCCTCAACTGAGTGGCGGAGGCCGGGCGCCGGCGGCCCGGTCTGACCGTACCGTCTTCAACGGTACTACGGTACGGTGCATACCGGGCGCCCCGCGCCCCCCCCTTGGTACCCGGAGTCCCCCGGGGGGGCGGCAGCCTCGGCCGCGCCCCCGGCTAAACAGTTTCAGGGGGCCCCGGCCCCCGGGGGCCGGGACTCGGGACTCCCGGACTGACAGTGAGCGGCGCCGCGGCGTGACCGTGCCGCAGTGCCGGGCGTACGGTCGTCACTCCGAGACTCTGAGCGAAGTGACTTTTTTTTTTGTTCGCTGGAACATGCCGGCGGCTCAAGGTCGCTTGTGCTTCATCCTGAGAGTCGTCCCCGTTCTCATCCTCTTCTCCTTCGCCAAGTCTCTCCCCCCCGATAGCTCGAGTGACCCCACACACGAGCCTGCAAACTCAAAGGTCAGGCAGGTCGGCTATGATGACTTCTCCACCTTCATTCACAGAAACCCGCTGATCCTCATGGAGTTCTACGCGCCGTGGTGTGCACACTGCCAAGATCTGGCCCCAAAGTTGAGAGAGGCAGCTGCAATCATGGATGGGATGGATCTTCCTGCCCGAGTCGTCTTTGCCAAGTATGATGACAGCAATGAGTACAACAGGAGACTGCGTGCTGGTGCTCCGGAAGTCTACGATTTCCAATCATACCCCGCGCTGTACGTGTTTCGTGACGGAAAGCATGAAAGATATCTTGGGGGACGAGAGACGCATGAGATCGTATCGTACATGACCTCTGTTGCCAAAGGTCTTGATCCACAAGAGGAGGAGAAGAGAGCCAAGCCAGGGCTGTACAAGTCGAAACCGGACTACGACCCTCTAGTATTTGCTGACCTCGACACTACTAGCTTTCGTCAAGAGGTGATTGAAAATGACCTTGTCGTGTGGATCATTGAGTTCTACAGCGACTTCTGTCCGATCTGCAAGTCATTGACAAAGGAGTTTCTGCAAGCCTCAAGAGAGGTCGAGTCAGAGATTCCAGGAAAAGTCAGGTTCGGAGGGGTAAACAGCAGGGTCAACGAGGAGATCGCAGAAATGTTCGCAGTGACGAGCTACCCATGGGTGGCATGTTTCTTCCAGGGGCACAAGGTTGAGGACATGAGAGGCTTGTCGGGAGCAGAATCGATCAGGAGGTTTGCGACTTCAATGGCAGATCGGTTGAAACCAAAGGGGCTCCAAGGCAAGGCACAGAGCAAGCGACCAAAAGAGGCCTCTTCACGCGCAGAGCCAGGCTCCGTTGCATCCGATCCGACCCAAGAGATGCTGTTTGGAGGGGGCTCTGCGGACGAATACAGCAAGCTCAGCTGGAGGGATCAGCTGGGCCGCCATACCTGGTACTTCCTGCACTCTGTGGGGGTGACTTACCCTGAGTATCCTACCCCGGCCGATGAGCAGGCTGTTCGCTTCCTTGTCGCTGCTCTTGGCCAGCTGTTTCCTTGCAAGTCGTGCAGGAGGCACCTTCAGAGGACTCTGAGCACCAACGTTACCCTGGGACCAGTGCCAACTGCCAGCAGGGAAGAGCTCTCGCGGTGGCTCTGCCAGCTACACAACATTGTGAACATCAAGACGGGAAAAGCTGAATTCCTATGCGAACAACACAGGCTGGATCTGATGTACCTCAAGAACTGCAACGAGTGCAAGGAATCGTTCCAACCGGGGAAAGTGCACGAGGCCGTTCACCCATGGAACGCCCAGTTGTATGCGAACGACCCCTCTATGTACCAGGACATCCAGTCAGAAAGTGATATGGAAGAGATCGCTGATTTAGAGGAGCTTCTACGGATAGGAGTGGAATTCAACGTGCTGACCAAGAAGAGAGCCCTGAGGATTCGACATTTGATTGAGAGCGGGGAGAGCACTCGGCAGAAAGTCAGCAGGGAACTTCACAAGCTTCTTCTTCCTATCCAGAAGCTGAGAAATGAGAACCGGAGCCTGAAATCAAGCAGGACATGCAAGCCGTCTGGTGCCGCGGCCGAGGTCAATCATGATCGATGATTCCGATGATGCAACCAATCAACTGCCACAACTGGCCCAACTGATCCCACGCCCGGCCTGTGACCCATCATGTGACATTAGTGCCACTGACGTTACAGTGCGGCTGAGGAGCCGCTAGTACGGTCACAGACAGTGACTGTCACAGCAGCGCAGCCCTATGTAGTTTAGTCTAGACTATAAAGATTCTAGTAGGACACAGGTAAAAGCCGACACGGGCCTACCGTGAGGCAGCCATGGCCATGTATGTGAGAGTGAAGCGAGCAAAACAAACCATCTTCATGCACTGTAAGTGAGAGAAGAGGAGGACAGAGCGATGGCGGGAAAGAGGAAGAAGATGGAGCGATGGCGTGAAAGACGTTTCTAGAGGAGAGAGGGAGGAAAAGCCGCGATTAGCTGGTAGGGAGGGACTTGAAAGGAGGGTGACGGATTGATGGATCAGGAGGAGGGGGCGGAGAGAACGGGGAGGTGGAGGTATACGGAGGGAGAAGACAAGAATATAAAGTAGCAACTTGTTTCATGGAGAAGAAAGATGTTTCCAAGAGGTTTGAATACGTGCAGGAGAGATTGAATGCGGTTTGTCAGGCGATCCCAGTGATACAATAGCGTCCTTGAAGCAAAAGATCAAACAGATCAACAAAGTCGAGGTCTCCGTCTCACTAATCTTGCTCATTCGCCCCTACTCTGACATGATGCATCAGCCGAGCGACCAGCGTCTTGTACAGATCGATGATAGGAATGTCTTGGATGATGACAAAGTAGGAGCAGATCCTGGGAACATGCGTCAAGTAACACTTGCTGCAGACGTTGAGAGAGTGCAAGGTGGAAGACATGGCAACTCTGGGGTTGATATTAAGAAAGAGCGCAGAGGTTTGGCGTCATTGGAGGAAAGAGACTCGTCTTGACCCGGTTGCAGTCCACAGAATGGGAGGAGCTTGACGTGCAGAGGTTTGAGGTAAATATGCTCACGTTTGCCAGGTGATGCTGATTCTGCAAGCAGAGCGAGAAGGAGAATGAAAGTGCTTGAAATTAGAGGCCGTGGATGAATTCTAAACTTTATTAATTGTGTTTGCTCGTTGTTGTTCCTGTGAGAAACTACAGTCGTCGCCATATCTCAGTGTGCAGGAGGATGGTACAAGACTATTCTAGTCCTTCTTGGGCTTGTCAGGGAATCTTCCCTTGATCACTGAGTACAAGAGAACACCCAAGATTGCAGTAGAGGACCTGAACGAAAGCGTCAACATCACCTTGTCTTTTATCGTGTTGGTGTTGGAGTGTATCAAGTTGTACATCTTTCATGCCATGTCCTTACCCGATGATGCCGAGAGGGGTCATGGGGGTTTGGAAGACAATGGCGGCGGCAACGATGACAACAACTCGCTTCACTGTGTTGCCAACCTTGACCAGCGCGCTGTCAGGGAACAAGAATCGTCATTGACGAGGATGCGCTCACCGACTGAGTCACTGGGGCCACAGAGCCGAGGACAAGGAAGGCCATTTCGTTGTAGGTGTAGTAGAGAAGTCCCGTAGCAACCACCTGCAAGAGATGTTAGTTTACTTCTCCTCGTCCCTCTTCTCCTTCTCTCTCTCCCCCCGCCTCAAACTGCATTCCTCCACATAACCATCTTCTCACCATCTGAGCAAGCTTCAAGGGTGATACGGCATCCAACGCCATAGCCTTGAGGGCGTCGTCAGAGCAAAGAAACGAGCAAAAAAAGAAAAGAAGAGCAGAAGAAGAGGAAACGAGTAGGACAAGAGTTAGTGCAGAAGAAGAGGAGCAAACGAGTAGGACAAGAGTTAGTGCAGAAGAAGAGGAGCAAACGAGTAGGACAAGAGTAAGAGCAGAAGAAGAGGAGCAAACGAGTAGGACAAGAGTAAGAGCAGAAGAAGAGGAGCAAACGAGTAGGACAAGAGTAAGAGCAGAAGCAGGGGGTAGAGCTTTACCAGGCCTGACGCGACTTTGGACCCTTCGAGAAACAGAGCGAAGGGCAACATGAGGACGAAGGCGATGAGAGTCACGACGGCATATCTATCCACATGTCAGTGTGAGAATATAACGCAAGAACTTCTTCACGTGTTTTCTGCCGTCATGTTCTCGCCAGGGTTCGACATCTCCATGGACTCCTTGGACCTGGTATGAGGTGAGGAAGAGACCGGCTGTCCAGCAGCTCCTGCGCTCTTACAAGACTCCACGGGTTGCGTAGACTACGTTGGAGAACATGGCGGCAAGAAAGCATCCCCAGGTGAACGATAGCTCACTTGCTGCATTGACTATCAAATTTTTCTCTCTTCCTCCTCCTGGGCACTTGTTGCTCCTGCTCCTGCTCTTGCTCCCTCTCCTCGTCCTCGTCCTCGTCCTCGTCCTCGTCCTCGTCCTCGTCCTCGTCCTCGTCCTCGTCCTTGTCCTTGTCCTCGTCCTCCTCACCTGAAGCCAAACCAACTCCGCCAACAACCGGCAACATTGACAACCAGACCTACAGGAACTCTCATCTCCTGACAACATCTCTACCATCTCCTTTTCGCCTTACCTGCCACGGCAAGTTGCGTCCAGTGACAATCAGTCCAATCAGAGCAGTGCAGATCGGCTCCAACGCCTAAGAAAGAGGTCAGGGAGGCGGCAACAAAGATTCTCCTTTAGCGAGATGTTACCTTGACAACATTGACGAAGCTGACGGATCCAAGTCCCATCGCCGTCACGGTTGCAAGCTGACCAAATCCATGGAAGACAGCCACCTGCCCGCGACGTCTCACTTCCCTCTCTCTTCCTGCCTTCCTGCCTTCCCTCCCCATTCCTAACTTCCTCCTTTCCCCGTCCTCCCCTCCCTCCTCTCATCCTACATACCTTGGTCAGAGCCTTCAGATTCTCCTCTGAGGGTTTAGGGATCGCACGGATGCCCGAAAGCCACTGGGGTGCCAACCAGAGGATACCGGCGCCTGCAGATGGTCAGGCAAGGGGGACAAGGACCCTTCCTAACCGAGCTGTATCACTGCAAATGTCCAGGGGAGAGGGCATATATTCAGAGTCTTCTTGACGACGATGTTGTAGCCAACGTTGAGCACGTACCTGACACAAACTGTGACCCACCCCTTCACGCTGGATTGGCAGTACCATGCGAAGAAGTAGAAGCCGAGGAGGAGGCGGCCGGCTTTCTTGGTGCCCGCGCTGTCAGACGAGGCCTGCCAGGGAGAATTGTTGGCAAGAGTAGAGAGAAAGAGAAGAGGGATAGGAAGGGAGGGAGGGAGGGAGGGAGGGAGGGGAGGGAGGGAGGGAGGGAGGGAGGGAGGGAGGGAGGGAGGAGGAGGAGGAGGA